GAGCAGCTTCTTCCACATGTTGGATTGGTTTGCCTGTCTTCTAAACTTACTAAGAAGAAATGTGCGCTTGCAGCCCAGAAGGCCAACCGTATGCTGGGCTGCATCAAGAGAAGCATGGCCAGCAGGTCGAGGGAGGTGATTCTCCCACTCTAATCTGCTCTTGTAAGGCCCCACCTGGAATACTGTGTCCAGTCCTGGAGCCCCCATCACAAGAGAGACATGGACCAGTTAGAACGAGTCCAGAGGAGGCCACCAGGATGATCCAAGGGCTGGAGCACCTCTCCTATGAGGACAGGCTGAGAGAGTTGGGGCTGTTCAGCCTGGAAAAGAGAAGGCTCCGGGGAGATCTTATAGCGGCCTTCCAATACCTGAAGGGGCCTACAAGAAAGCTCGGGAAGGACTTTTCATAAGGGCAGTTAAAAACAAAACAAGGGCAAATGACTTTAAGCTGAAAGAGGGCAGGTTTAGATTAGATATTAGGAAGTAGCTTTTCACTGTGAGGGTGGTGAGACACTGGAATAGGTTGCCCAAGGACGTTGTGGATATCCCCTCCCTGGAAGTGTTTAAGGCCAGGCTGGATGAGGCTTTGAGCAGCCTGGTCTAGTAGAAGATGTCCCTGTTGATGGCAGGGGGTTGGAACTAGATGATCTTTAAGGTCCCTTCCAACCCAAACCATTCTATGATTCTATGATTCCATAAATGACTGTCATCCCATCACAGGAAGACTGATTAGGTTTCTCTTTTCATTCTTAACTTACTCACCTGATTTTGCCCAGAGGAGTCCGTGAATTTATTGGCATAACTTAGATAGCCGCATGTGGACAGCTTTGAAAGGGATAAGGTCTCAGCTCTTGCACTGCCTTACTGTTTGAAAAAAATTCTTAAAGTAACAGAATTTGGGCAGCAAAGGCACCCAGAATGGGAAAGTGGAGACAGGGGAAAGGAGCGTACTACCATGAAATGAAATACTAGTTAATTAGTTAAAGTTTAAAAAGAGGAAGAAGGATTAACTGAATGGAAAAGTAAAGAGTATATTTTGCAGCATATGATCAGACAACATTAGGCCACACACACAATAGAGAAGGAGTGGAACAGAATCAAACCTCAGCTGTTCAGCAGTTCCAAGACAGCAAGATATGGTGGCATAACCTGAAGCAAGGACACATGAAATACAAAACATTTATAATAAGAGTATAGAACTATTTTGGGTTTAATATGCTTAAATTTGCAAAGTAATTTTTGTCATTTCATTTTCCATAATAAATGAAAAAGATTGAGCTTTGTTTTCTTAGAACTGGCTAGTTGACCACCAAGGGTGATTTACCTGATTAAAAATGAGTTAACTTTATAATTGGCCTCAGTAAGTCTCCCTAATTTCATCATAAAACCTGACAACTTCTACCTTTCTAATCCTATGAAAATATATTTTCTTATAAACTCGGCAAATATTTTTCACTTAATCCACAGCCAACACTTAAAGAATCGCACAGATTTATTTATGGCACATATAGATTGTAGATTAGTGTAGATTTAACAGTAAAGCCCTCACACTGCTGCTTGCTGTAGGACACTTGGACTGGGTTACAGGACGCTCCCCATCCACAAATGAGACCTGTAGTGAACCTGTAGTGTTAAAACAGCAGCAGTAAACAATAGCAAGAGAAAAGGAATGTAATGGCTTGTGTGACTCTGTACCAGAGTTCACCCATCAGAGCCTCCTTCAGAGCTATGCTAGGCTTTGCAGACCTGGTTCCTTCCTACTTGCTAAAATTTGTTTTAAGCCAAAAACTGCTAATAAACGTAATGCCTTAAAATAACAGTATAACATACACAAATGCTTGTAAGCTGTACATGCTCAGTCACAGTACTACTTCTCAGGCTGCTGCCCTGCTAAGTATTAGTACTATTAATGATTTATGTGGTGACACTGAGCTGTGTGACACTTCACAAACATGTGAGAAGACTCGTTCAACCGTAAAGTCAGAATACTTTCCTTGGTTTCACAAACCGAAGTAATGGGCCACCAGGGGAGGTCAGTCTGCCTGGAGAGTAGGTACAGATCTGCTTGCAGTCAAGACCCTTGCTAATTAAGCATTAATTTCACCTGGAACAAGACAAAAGGCATTACAAGAATTTGTTGTTGGAAATCTGGGCTCTTCACCAGGTACGCATAGAGGCAATCAACACACTGAGTCAAAATATTTGTCTTTATTGCTAGTCTGCAGAGTAGGGTGCTGGGCATTTAACAACAGCCAGCACTGCTCTCAAAAACATACAGGGTCTTTTACACAAAACTGCAACAAAGAAGAAATTACGTTAAAATAGTTGCTTGGTTACTTGTACAAAAGTTAGGTTGTGCATGTCCTAATTCTGATCTAACTCATTGTACTAGGGTGGTCCTAAATTTATGTACAAATTCTCCACCTAGAGGTGTGGTTTTTAGTATTATAATTACCTAAGATTACTATAGGATATACTCTTATCTTAGCTTTATTCCATAATCGTACATATATTTCTCAGTTGGCAACTACGACACCGTTAAGCAGAAATTTACAGCTTTCTTATCTTGGAGCTTTCTAAGCTGTCTTTGTTTAAGTTTAGGTACATTCCAAGGCTGAGGTTGGGTGCTTTTCCCTCAGTTATACAAGCCTGCCTAATTGCTCAGTTTGGAAACTCTGTAACTTTTAACCCTTTCTTTTGACATCAGATTTTCCTAGAATAAAAAGACTGTTTCATATGTCTTTTTGAACTGGGCACTGAGAAATGCAGCTTACAACTCTTCCACTTGAAGAAGGAAGTCCAGTTGTAAAAAGAAAACCAGCATAGAGGTGCTCTTTTCCATTGTATCCATGGATGTATAAGAGTTATGACTAATAAGAGGAAGTTCAGCTTGATAAGGCTAATGACAGGAATTTGGGACAGGATGGGCCTTGGTCAGAGAAACTAGAAAGAGAATGATTCATAGAAAAACAAAACCAGGCTTTTCCTATTCCGAACAAACAGCAAATGTCCCAGCAAAAAAAACCCAAAACCAAACAACTATTGTAAGGGCTTACTAACATGACTAAAACAAGATCTACTCAATACATACTGGCAAAGATCCCCAGCACACATAGAATCATATAATCATAGAATGGTTTGGGTTGGAAGGGACCTTTCAAGATCATCTAGTCCAACCCCCCTGCAGTGATCACAGACATCTTCAACTAGATCAGGTTGCTCAGAGCCCTGTCCAGTCTGACCTCAAATGTTTCCAGGGATGGGGCTTCTACCACCTCTCTGGGAAACCTGTTCCAGTGTTTCACCATCCTCATTGTAAAAACTTTTCTCCTTATATCTAGTCTAAATCTACCCTCTTTTAACTTAAAACCATTATGGCATGTTTTCCTCAGCAGCAGCAGCTCAGTGGTGAGCATTACATGGCTGGTGCGAGCCCAGCAGCCACCTGCATCAGGCTGCATGCTCTGGTGTCTCCATGCCATCTACTCACCTGCCCAAACACCTGCAAGGACTCTTTGGAAGGTTTAAATTGCTCCCAAAGTTCACTGAAACTAATTTAGATTTTCACAGAATTTTGACAAGCCATTGTGTTTTCACCATGCTTGGTTCCTGCAGCCCCGGGTATGGCATGGAATGATACAGGCAGCATCACACATTCCTGTCTTGCCTGAAGTAGCTAGTACCAAAATCAGGCTGTCCCAGCTGGAGGCAATATTTGCCTGAGCCTGGAGTGAGCCTCTGGCTTTGTGGTTAACCTCTGTTGCTTGACAATGCCCAAGAAGAATCAGTGCCGTATAAATTACAGCATTCGAAATCTGATCAGGATGAATTGAGCTTGCTGATGCACCCAGTGAGGCCAGAGAGCTCCTGGTTCATGCAAGAGGCAGGTGATTGTGAGTCTAAAATCCTGGATAAGTGGCTGTGGCAGAAGAAGATGGCAGTGATCACCGGCTCCCTGGCTGGCTGCACATCTGGGTGTCACCAAGCATGTGACAACAGCAAAATACCACACTGCCTACATCATCTCAGAGAGCTTCAGCTACATGACAACGAGCAAGCAATAGAGCTTCAACTTCCTTAATTCTGAGCACCAGTTTACCTCATCTAGATTTAGACAAGACAAACCTTAGCTAGGAACCTGGTCCAGCTACCTCAGGGTGTGAATGAAACCTACGAATTCAAGCAGCAAACTTTTTCAGAGGCAGCTCAGTTTTCCAAGCCCTGGAATCACTTCCAGATATTTTTCTTCATTATGCAAGTCTTTTCCATCATTTTTCCACTTCATGCCATCTGCTTAGTTTCTGTTGGTTTAGGGGTGGGTTTTTTCTGGGCTACAAAGCTGCTGCTCCCTGCTATGGAGGAGGGAGTCCAAAGTCTAATTCCTGACAAGTGGTACTGCTGTGACTGGAGCTTCAGTGGAAACCACTTGCTGGGTGTGTACTAGCTAATTTGCTCTAACTACTTTAAAAAGATTAATCAATTACCTTGAAAAATTAACATCATTATAGTTTAATTTTCTTCCATAACAGAACAAGCATATTGTATTGTTTGTATTGTTAATAATAAGGCAGGACAAAAAACTGTACATAGTTCTGTGTGGTTTTCTCACATTTTATTCACACTTTGAATCTGTTGCCTCACTCAAAAATTTTTCACTTAAAAGATGATGAAGTTTAAGCCACTGCTAGTTACAATGCGGACATATGTAGACAAATACATACTGTTTTTAGAGAAAGAAAGATAGATCTTTGCTGTTTTGATGTTGATTACTGGGGTGGGTTTCCACTGTGTTCTCCATTTGACCTTGACATTGTGCAGTGGCCCATGGTCTTCTGTTTCCTCTAAGGAGAGCTGCTTCTACATCTCACTGCATCAGCATCCCAAAGGGAAAGTGAAATCTCTGCAAGCTTCTCTAAGCTGTGGGAGCTTTAGGCACTTCTGTTTCTCTTTTCTTTTTCTGGCTGAGATTTCACTCTCCTCGAAGTTACAGGAGGCAGAAAATGGACAAGTTACGTGAGGCACTGGATTTCTGCATCCGCCACCAGACTGTTCTGGGTTACAGCATTGTGTCCCTGCTGACAGCTGCCAGTGAGCACATCTTCTCTTCTGTGGTCTTCAAGTGTCCCTGCAATTCTAGCAACATGCTGTATGGCTCCGTCTTCCTCATAGTGCCTGCCTTCATCCTCTTTCTGCTTGGCTACATGTTGAACGCCAGGACGTGGCGCCTGCTGACGGGCAGCTGCCCTCCGGAGAAGCGCTGCAGCTGCAGCCCCTGGAGAACCTGTGCCCGCTACTGCCTCGCGCTGCTGCCGGTGACAGCCAGAGCCTTGGTGGCCCCCTTCACCTGGATCGCGGTGGCTCTGCTCAGAGCCAGCTTCTACGAGTGCGCGGCCAGCGGGAATGGCCTGGTGAAGAACTTCGTGTGTAAAGATAAAGGACAAGAGTGCCACGAGCTGCTGGTCAAAATACCCTGCGACGAGAAGTTATTGGGGAGGATTCCGGGTGAACTCCTCAGCCTCCAGGCACAGTCCCAGGTAAAGCCTTGCTGCTCTTCTCTTTGTGATCTCCAACCCTGGCTGTGCAATTATAGTGGTGCCTGCTGGGGACAGTAAACAGTCCTTCTCTCTCACGCTGTGTGGTTACCAAGAGTACACGATTAGCAAAAATTCATCAGCAAAAAAAATGCTAACAGGAAGGTAATTAGCATATATTTGTGCTATTTTCTGGTTTTGCTTGTTTGCATGGCAGTTGTTCGGCACTGCTATTGACAAAACCTCCTTCAAAGCTGGGCAGGGAACCAGCCTAGAGACTAGGGCTTCCCACAGCAAGTTTTCTTCTCATTTAACTGAGGCATGGTGAGAGTTCTTCTCTTTTTCCACTTTTACTGCTCTAAATACCTCAAACTTTTGTAAGTACGCATAAGCTGAGGGGAAGCTGAGTCACAAATAGAGACGAAGCTGATGTCTCTTTGCAACAGAGAACTGGCAAGTAAAACCAATAAGGGCAATTTGTTTGACTATAAATCTCGATGCTTGAACTGATTATTAATTTCACACTTGTATTCTAGAGGAATATGTAGGAATATGTAGAATATTCTAGTTAAAATATGTATCTGCCTTGTTAAAGTGTTCTTGTGCTGCAGGCAAACTGCATGATCAAAAAAATAGCACTTGTGAGTGAAACTGAAACCCACAAATTCTGGCAGCACTCCATTTTTTTTCTAGATTTGTTTGTTCTTTGTCTTAACTCCAGTAGAAAAATCAAGTTTTATCACTTTTTCTCAGGAAAACATTAAGGCTGGTTAATGGAGTTAAGTTTATGAGAGATTATAATTACTTAGGTTTTTATAAATTTGTGTTTAGTACAGATGCTTATTAAACAACAACAAAAAAAGTGTTTAACTTTCTTAAATATTTAGCATCCTGCTCCTCCAAGAAAAAGGCTGAAAAGGGGCAAACTCTATACCATTCAATTCAGATAGGGTAAGGAAGGAGCAAAATCAAGGAAGACTGACTGTTACTGGTATTGCAATGAAATCTAAAAGAAACAAACCAGTCAATCAAAACCAGGAAAAAATGTGAGGAGGTTTTATTATTGACTATTATTTTTAATATTGGATCTACTTTCAAGAAAATTAAGAATCAAAAGGAACACAAACTCATTTTTCTTTAGCACTCAATGTTTTTCATTTGGAAAACAAAAAAAAATCAGCCTGAGGTGAAAAGGGATGCAGTGAGATCTCTACCCAGAGCTTCCAGCGGAGTACTACTAGGTACTGGAGGGACCAGCATCTACTAGGACACCTGCTTTAGGTGGGGCCTCTGAGACTTATGCAGTGAGATCTCTACCCAGAGCTTCCAGTGGAGTACTACTAGGTACTGGAGGGAGGGACCAGCATCTACTGGGACACCTGCTTTAGGTGGGGCCTCTGAGACTTATCTAGAGAAGTTAAAATAATGTATAAAAGCAAGGATGAATGCCCATATTTGATAGTTAGGTCGGGGTCCTGCCTACAAAACATACAAGACAGAACTTTCCCTCTGTGCTGTGGCAACTGGCTACTTTCTGCAAGCTCAGACATCAGTGTGAGGAGGTACTTTCCAAGAGCAAATAAAACATAGTCAGGAGGAGGTCTCGTTTGCAGCACCAGAGGTGGACAGGGTGATTCTGCACCCTCTGTACTGTAAATCTGACCCCAGCTGCAGAAACTGCTGGTCAGTGTCTTGCCTTTAAATTTAAAAAAGCTGGATATAACTGAGGAAAGAACTTCACTCTGCCTTCTCTTTTTTTGTTATTCATCCTCAATCCAACAAGATCAGCTCAGGGGTGTGAAGCTCTGTAAGGCTGGCTGAATTGTGTGCATGGGATCCTCTCTTTCCACAGTGAGCAGACTGTTACAGGCACTCCAGGGTATCTTCACTTACAGTTTTCATGTCTGCTTTAATGTTAAGTTCTATACTCCTACAAATGAGCGTGCAAAACCACTGTTAACCCATCTATCTCTTTTCCAAGCTGCTAGGTTGGTTCCTGATAGCCAGCATCATGATTCTGGCACTGATTGCAACATGTTTCAGCCGCTGTTACTCCCCAGTTAGCTATCTTCAGCTCAAGTTCTGGAAAATTTACTCGAAAAAGGAACAGGAGCTCTTTGAGATCAAGGCTAAAGAGCATGCAACAAGGCTGGCAGAAATAAATACAAATTGCTTTTTTGAAGCCACTGACCCAGTACCGTTTCAGACTCCCAGCAACGAAGACTGGCGGAAGATTTCATTCTTGTATACCTTCAGTTCGCAAGAGCCGTATTACAGCATGATACACAAGTATGTTAACACAAACAGAGGCAACAGCATCAGATTTGGGGAAGGAGGTCAGATTCCCCCTGTTTTAGAATTTGTGGATGAAGCAAGTGCAAATGAATCAGGGTTTTAAGGAAACAAATCCCTTGCAACACTGGCAGTCTTCTAACCTTACTGATATATGAAGAATGTTATCCTGTGCCCTTATTGAAAGCCATGTGAATTGTATGTAAAAGCTGATACTTGTAACCCTCAACAGATTTGTTTTAAAATATTTCATTACTTTTGCTTAAGTACATTTAAATAAATACATCTGTCACGATGGGAGTTTTCATATGTCATTTTTCCTTAAGAAGAATCACATGTGCAAAATAATAAGCATCCACAAGGATGTCAGCATGTACTATGTCAAATCGGAGGTTGGAACTAGATGATCTTTAAGGTCCCTTGCAACCCAAACCATTCTATGATTCTACGATAAATTATTACCAAACACCTTAAGGGGATTTGGCAGCTGAAGTGACAATACCAAAATTTGCATCTTGTAGTGTCAAAGAGACAAAAAGGAATTGAAGTTTTGATCAGAAATTTGGCTTAGTTTCCAATTCAGTGGAGATTAGCAAGTTCTCGACTGAAGTATTTACTTTCAGTCAATTAGTTTCTGAAGGCAAGGACCGTATCTTTTAAAATCTGGGAAGTGATTAGTGTTTTGGAGCTACCTGTGCATAACAAATGAGTCCATCAGAATGACTTCAGCTGCTTATCAGTTGGAATAGATAAGCAAAAAGATTCCAGCCATTTTACCGCTATGTCCTCAGCAGCTTTAGGCAATAACAGTGAAACTAAAAACTTCCATGGTGATGAATTTTCTTTACCACTGCCTGATCTTGATCACCTTTTGCAGCAAGTCTTAATTAGCTCTACTGTCATTTCCTGTAATTGTAAAGCTCTTTAATGGAAAAAAAATAGGCATTTGAATGCTGCAGGGAAAACATGCCAACAACAAACTTCCTGTTTATATTCCATTTATATTTTTTCTATTTTTTTCTGAAAAATACATCCTTATTATGGGGTTTTTAAAATATATGATATTACATGTAGAGTTTTGGCCCTGGCATCAGTACCTAAGCTACAATTGGATGTCCCTGCCATGTACACTATTTAACTTGATCCAGAATGGAATCTAAGTGCAAATTAGCATGTCTTGAGGAGCTGAACTTATGCGTAACATGGCAGTATAGGTGAAGCTTATATTAAAAAACATTTATAGCAAAGCTACATACTTAAGGACATTATAAATCCGTAATCCATAGCAGCAAATAATAACATCCTTATCAAAGAACATCTAGTTATAACAAACAAAGATACTAGTTTTGAGTGAAGAATCCAGAGGAGAGCCACAAGGATGATCAGAGGGCTGGAGCATCTCTCCTATGAGGACAGGCTGAGAGAGTTGGGGCTGTTCAGCCGGGAGAAGAGAAGGCTCGAGGGAGACCTTCTAGCTACCTTCCAGTGCCTGAAGGGGCCTAAGGTAGTCTGGGGAGGGACTTTTTACAAAGGCAGGTAGTGACAGAACAAGGGGTAAGGGGTTTAAACTGGGAGAGGGTGGGTTTAGATTAGATATTAGGAAGAAATTCTTTACTGTGAGGGTGGTCAGACACAGATGGTCCAAGGAAGTTGTAGATGCTCCTCCCTGGAAGTGTTCAAGGCCAGGCTGGATGAGGCTTTGAGCAACCTGATCCAGTAGAATGTGTCCCTGCTGATGGCAGGGGGGTTGGAACTAGATGATCTTTAAGGTCCCTTCCAACCCAAACCATTCTATGATTCTCAGATTAAGAATAATAAAGTTCAGTTTTTCTTGGCTTTTTTTAGAGAGGATTTTAGCGAGGTGCATCAAATTGTTTGATCCAGGCTGTTCTTTCACTCTGCCCTGAAATCTTCTCTTTCTAGACAGTAAACTCTAGCTTGGAAACAATTCAGACAGAGAGGAATCCCATTAAGTGTTTTGTTTCTGTCATTTTTCAAGGAAGAAGGAAGGGAAGAGCCTATTTTAACTATCTGAATATAACTACCTTGGAAGCTTCATTCTTATTATAAACTGAAAATATAACACACAAAGGGAAAACGAGATCTAATTCTGTGTGTAGAAAATAATTTTTAAAGCCTTCATTTTGTCATGGAGTCACGGACTTGCTCGGTGCTCTTTTTCTTCCAAGAAACTTGATGATAATAGAGTAACCAGGGTCCAGTTTATTATCTGTGCCTCTAGGAAGCACAGTTCCATTAAAAATGATCCATTTTACCTCTTATATTGAAGAGTTTATTTGTTCATTGATGTCTAGAGAAAGATAAATATACTCTGGAATGTCGTAAATGGGAAGGAAACAATGTCCTGGCCCCACTTCGGTCAGTGCCAAAACATTCCTTGATGCAGTGGGGACAGGCTTTACCTTTGAGATATAATAAAATACTTCAGGATAGACTGAAAGCTTCCAGGAACAAGCCACGCCTTATTTCATTTCCTGATGAGAAGCTGCAGTGAAAACACCCTCAGAATTTGTGTTAATCCTCAAATGCATCTGGGTGGGCTTTTGCCACTTCCTACTCATGATCACAGATGCCACAGTCTCATTGCCAAAGCTGCCTTGGCTTTCCAGGGAAGACACAGAGCTGGCACGTCTAATTAAAATCAGTGAGCAAAGGCTTTAAATGGGACTGCAATACCTATCTTCAAGTTTGCTGGCAATGATGGCAGTCTGTTTTCATAGATAAGTCCAATGCAACAGAGGTTTAAGCAAGAGAATTGTATTTTACAAAACAAGGACAGTATAAGTTATTAACTTTCAATATAATAATAAAAATATGATAATACTTGGTTGATAGCATGTTTCTGGAAAAAGGAAAAATGGCCATTGCCTTGTAAGGAATCTTTTTGTGGTCAGCCAAAGTCACCACATGTCCATGTCTGCCAGCTGGGCATAACCAACAAAAACCCCACAAAGGGCTCCTGCACAGGCAGTGAAATCAGGACAACCCCACAAGACCTTTCAGCCCTGACTGGAAAAAAAAAAAAAAAAAAAAAAAAAGGAGGGAAACTTGTTACTGGTTTTAACAGGTTGTTACCTTGTATGTAGCGGCTAACAGTAGTTGGGCTGAACCCAAGGCTGGCTAATGAATAGTTTAATTTCTGTTCTGTACAAAATTGTTCTCTTAAAGCTCTGTTACACTATGCCACCACTGTACATAACTGTTAATATAAATGAAGAGAGAAAGAATATCGTGAGGATTGTATGTAGCTCTGGTGGGAGTGAGCCCTACTGTCGCCAAGGTAAGAGGTGGCCCTCACTTAGCAGGATTAAGAGGTAACCAGGCTGAGGGAAAAACAGCAGAGGAGGGTACAGATCACAGTTAACTCTGGGCTTCACTGAATTGAATTGAGGGTTTGTATTTCAGTTTAAAAGGAATGCCTTGGAGAGAAGGAGGTGAGCTGGCTTGTAGGTGAGGTACTGCACTGGGAGTTGGGACCTGGGTTTTTGTCCCACTCTTACCCATATATCTTGTGTTACACTTCACAACATTAAACCTTTCCTATAACTCAGGTGGCTGCTATTTCTGTACTTCTCAGACATGTTGTGGTAACAGAAGTCCACTGCCAAGTAGATGTTCAACGGCCTGTGATGAAGGTCAGGTAAGTACAGACACAATGACCAGCAAACTAGTTGTGTGGCAATCTCTGAATTTTTATTCAAGTTTCCTTAGGTGAAATACAGATCCACAGTGACTACACGTTAAATACACCATGCTTTGTTCAGTGTGGTTGTAAGATCAGTGCTCTTGAAGAGAAGACTGACATGAAAAGGCCCACAGCTTGAAGCAACACAAGCATTGCTGCGGTTGTCAGAGTGCTGCACCCTGATGTATGCACGATGCAGAGCAGGCATGCCAGCAAAACCACATTTGGGGCCTGAAAGAGCCATAAGGAACCACCTCCTGCCATCAGTGAAGCCACATCCCTCTCTGGTTTCAAAGGGGGCAGGATGTCTGGAGTGGAGGACAATGAATGGCAACCATTACACATCAAAACAGACACCTAGTAGGGAGAAACTGCATACAAAAGTGACAGCAAATGAATTAATTATTCCTAACTACAAACAGCCCAGGAAATAAAGCACTTCTTAGCAACCATGCTTTGAAACATTACCAACAAACAAAATGGGAGAAGGTGGTCATGTTTAGCTGAAAACAGGTGGTGTCCAAATGAATATTTTGCATACAGCATGCACTAAATACTGAGATAAAACTTTCATTGAGCTTGAGAGCATGGTTATTAGAGAAGGAAGGGCAGGCCATTGTCACCTTTTACATTGACATTTGTGTCACAACGATTAACATTGCTCTCACCCTGCTCCGCCCCTCCTGTTCGCTGCCCAGCTCTCTACAACTTTCAAATATATGACTGGTATAGTTGCCTCAGGGAAGCCATTTTTACCCTGCATGTCTTCTTCAGAAACAAAAGGTGCCAAAATATCCCTCAGCAAGGGTTTCTCACAATATTTCTTTCATTTATTTCTTTTGTGCTTTCTGTCTTCAGCCTTCCTTAAAAACGTAATTCCTATTTCTGTCACAGCATCGCCCTTCAGCCTGTCCTGGAGGAAGGTAACTTCTGCTGCTAAGTGAACCTAGAGAGAATCAGGTCTGATCAGTTAAGCAAAGAAATGCCATTTTTCCCTTCTCCAGTATAACAAGCTTTTTCTCTCTTACCACAAGGGGACCCCCTTTCTCAGGTTTCATAAAAAATAGATTCCTAGATTGTTGTAAAATATCTTTCCCAACAAAGTTAATAAAAAGGAAGTTTATATACACTGGAATTTGTATAATACACTACCCTTCATTCCAATGCTTTGCTTTCTTCTGAGAACCAAAATTGTGGACTTGATCACAAAATTTCCTGGTCACATACTAATACTTAGGATATGATACTTTTGTTAATTAGTCTTATATCAGATACTATAATTCTGAGACTGGCATGCATACATAACATTTGTACAGCTTTTGTTTTCTTGAAACATACGACAAATTAGGTATTGACAGAAACATAAAGCAGCTCAAAAGTTGCCTTCCAGAAAATGCTACAGAAGCCCTACAACTCAGTGGCTTTCAAATGATGCCCTTTGTGTATTCTTTTGAAAAAGTCTTAAATTTAAGGGCAAAATTTGGAACGACATCTGACACACTTCTGATGCTTTGGTTTTAACATTATACTCATCCACACTCTGTTCTCCCTTTCAGCAGGTGCTGTGAGAACATTATTTATCTTCATGTATTTGGAAAGAAACAGGGATGGCTATTACTGGTTACACCTATGCAGGAAAGTAAGATGGGCTCAAGGAGCAGTGGAGGAGTCCAGCGTGCTTTGAGGCTTTGAACAACCTGCTCTAGTGGAAGGTGCCCCTGCCCATGGCAGTGGGGTTGGAAATAGATGATCTTTAACCCAAACCATTCTATGATTCCATGCCCTCCTGGCTCTCCACATTACTTCTTAGCTGGCTCCCTGGTCCCACCTGGCTTCTGCAGCTGAGTCAGCCTCCAAGGAGCCAACCAGTGACAGTGTGGAAGTGAGCCAACCTGTGTGCTTCTCTACCTCAAGATCAGTCTGGCCCTCCTTGATTTAGAAATAGACAATCTGAGAAATAGATTAAACAGTACTAAATTTCCTTCCTTTATCTGAGCAAGTGGTTTTGTTTTCCTGTGCCTCTGCATATTAATAAAGAATGGAGAAAACAGATGTGTACTTCCTCACCATTTCCAAGGCACCTCGAATCACGCCACAGAGGAGGTTACAGTAGCAAAGTGATGCTCTTTCTGCTGGTAGCTCCTCCACAAAGTCCACTAGTGGGTTTTTGTCCAGGATCAAGGAGAATTCGTTTCCTGCTGCACTACTGCAGCTCACACTAGGGGTGACCCCAAGGTACATCTTGAAAGCAACCTGCAAAAGGGTGACATTCTGCTGCATCAATCTGTTCTGTGCAAACCAGAGGATAAACTTTAGGATGTAGTATCCTGTAGGCCATCTTTACCCAGGAAAATAGGGGGAAGAGTGAGACAGGCTGGAAATCAAACTAGATTTGTCTCTTTTGTGATCAGCTTGAGCCAGAAACACAAATCTGGAGCTATGTGATACTTCAGGGAAAGTACCACAGAAAGCTGCTTATTCTGTCTTTGATGTTCCTACATTTACAACCCCATACAAAGTGGTTTTACTGTTATTGCCTGTCTGCTTTCAGTTGTGTCACACTCCCTTGGGACCATTAGCATCTATATTAGGTTCTTCACTACATTGCCGGCAACTTTGATAATCACAACTCAAGAACTCCTGCAACAGGTGAGTGTGTGTTTTTACTTTGATCTCCATCTGCAGTCACAAAAAAAAAAAAACAAAAACCACCAAGAATAAGACTGCCAAGACTGCAAAATGATTTGATTAAATAGAGCATTACTAGCTTTCCTTCTACTACCAATGAACGTTACTGTAAATGTACAACATCTGCTCTGCTAGTGGAGGGTCCCCTGTGAGCGCGTTTCTCCAGACAGTGACATCACGGCATTATCTAGACAGTGCGCAGGCAGGCAGGCAGGCTAGCAGCAGGCTGTTCCTCCTCTGGAGAGCTCTCCCCTGCTACACCACTACAGACTGCTACAACTGAAGATAAAAGTGTCTTTAATTTTACCTCTGTAGTGAGTATCAAACATGGATGGTTTCCAAACAATCCTGAAATTTTTTATGAACCAGAAAACTGCTCTAGGTTACAGTTTTATGGCGCTGCTGACAATGGGAGGTGAACGTGTGTTTTCTCTTGTTGCTTTCAGATGCCCCTGCAGCAATGAAAACTTCAGGTATGGTTTGGTATTTCTCTTCTCCCCAGCTTTTGTTTTGCTAGTTATTGGATATTTCTTGAACAGCAAGACCTGGAAACTCTTTACAGGCTGCTGGGTGAATCCCAGAAAAATATTCCCCAGAGGAAATACCTGCCGTTTCTTTTACGTCTTTGGACAAATCACTCTAAACGCTCTGGTAGCCCCAGTGATGTGGCTTTCTGTGGCTTTGCTCAACGGGACTTTTTACGAATGTGCCATGAGTGGCTTGAAAAATCCTGCCTACTTACATGCAGTTTGCCACAGCAAATCTGCAAAGTGCTTTGAAGAGCTACACAAGGTAGCCTGTGACAAAAGCTCCATGCCCTTTTCAGAGAGTGATGAACTGAAACGAACTCTTCAAGCACAGTCCCAGGTAAGAAAAATCAATAAAGAGCATTAAACAGTTTGTACTGCCACTGGGGTTTATCTGTGGAAGATCCTGATGTCAGACATTAAGATAAAATTGTTAGCTTCATGTAAAAAAAGTTTTGGCATGATGCAGCCTTACCAAATACAATCAATCCACCTTTTCGTTCAGTTTGAGCTGTGACATACTTCCTGGAGGGGAATGGGGGGCGGTCCCACTGATGGCAGGATCAATAAAACTGGATAACTTTCAGCTTTCTTCCTGAATGAAGACTGCTCTAAAGAGAAAAAAATACTGGATTGTTTAGGAGGCTGAATTAACAGATGTTGCCCCATTAAAGGGTTCTGCCCTATTAAAAAATCCATACTACGCTCTCCTATTTTATACCATTATGATACTGTAATGAAATCTTAGGTCACTAACTGTAGAAAAATACTGGAAAATAAGATTTGTGACTGCCTACTTTTCTGTTTGCATTCCTCATGTTCATGATACCAGATGAGAGCATGTTTTTTGCCCTGCTTGGTAGAAAGAAGGAAGAAACACTAAAATAAAAAAAGCAGAACATGCAAAGCTGAGATTGTATTACATTTTACTATATTCATATGATACAGTTCTGCTCACTGCCTTATAATGTAAATAAATTCAGAGACAAAAAATCAAAACAAAGGAAAAAAAAAAGAAAAAAAAGGCTACAGAAAACAAAGGAAAGATGACTGTCGGTAGGAAGGAAAAACACTCTCTGGAGCCAGAAAGTCTTTCTCAGATAATTGTATCCATATGGAACCATTTCCTCCCCAAGAGCCAGTTTTATTTTCAAGTCCTGATTCAAATAGGAGTGGAATGCAGACAAATCCTGCACTGCAGACAAGGCAATTTATTTGAGACTTTTGAAGGAAACAACAAATAGTGCTTAAGACTTTAAGTTGCATGTATAGGAAATAATGAAAAAACAGTGATTCAGTTTATAGCATGAGAATACATGGGTTCATTCTCCAAGCTGCAAGAAAGTGAAAAGCTGCAAAAAAGAGCAGTTTCTCAAATACCCATAGAAATCATCGGTCAGTACAAAGTGACTGGAAAAATAAAAGAAGGTGAAGCTATTCTTCCATACCAGTCCCTGAGAGAAATTGTTTGTCAAGCTTCTCAGTTGCACGTAGGAAGCTTCCTATATTTTCTCAGCTAAAAATAATTCTTATTGCCAGGTTTTTTTTTTAACATCAGTGCAAGAATTCAAATGAGAAAGGGTGCAGCTTTCCATATCATCACCATTAAAGCACAAGAAATCAGTTTCAGTTCATGTGGGTTTCTGAAACTTAGATTATTTGTTCCACTGTTTGAAAACAAGTTTGGTTTTTTTGCAAATGTTACAAATTGCAGTAGAGTAGGTGAGTAAAACTGCTGGCTAGGCCAGTGGCACTAGGCGTGAAATAGTTGCGTTCACACTTCTGCTCTCCTTAAAGCAGAGCATCCCACAATAACAATTTCAAGCACATTTTTCTATTCTCTGCCCTTACTCTAATCCTGGAAGAAGCTCTTTCCTTTAGTATGTTCCTAATGTAATTTTGTCAAACTCTAAAGTTGCTACAAAAAAAAGTTGAATGATGCTGGAAAAGCATACGATGTTCCTAATGTAATTTTGCTAAAGTTGCTGCAAAAAAAGTTGAATGATGCTGGAAAAGCATACTTCAGCAAAAACAAAATGTTCTCTAAAAATATAGCAACTCTTTCTAATCAGTGTGTAGATGAACTGGGCTCTATTCTAGTGCTGACACAGACCTGCCAATGCACACGCTATTTCTTCTGTCTCATGCCCTCTTCTCCCAGCATTCTCATAGGATTGTCCAATAAGATAGTTTTAAACCAGTTTTGGCATAAAAATTATTATCCACTACAAAGGTCTGATTCATCAAAGTCAAAAAAAGTTCACAAGAACAGCTTAGATTTCAGTGAACTGCCTGGTAAAAGAATTTGGGGAAAGCTTTTTAAATTTAAGACTATCTTTTACATTCTTGTTAGCTAATTAATGCTAAAACAGTCCTAGCTGTTGTTTTGGGTTTTTTTTTAAATTAAAAAGAAGTCTGAAAACAGCAATCTAAATATAGTCAGAGTTTAAAAGATTGATTGATTTGGGATAAAAGTTACTTACCTTTTTTGCTTTTGTAGTTCATCACAATAGAGAATCGCGTCTTAATCCTAATTTTTGCTGGCTGATTTTATTTAATGCTTTCAGGAAATAGAAAACCATTCACCATCTAGTGATTGCGATATCTTATTCTCCCTGTGCACTCTTCCCTTTGTGTGACAGAATTCAGTGAGCAATTCCAATACACTGCATGTCAGATGGTTATGGTTTTGCAATAAACTCTCATCAATATCCTCTCTGAATTACCCAGACACCACTCCTGCTCTCAGGTCTGCTCTGTTTTCTGTATCTAGCACTATTCAGCCATAACATTATTTGATTGATAATTTAGACCTCTCTTAGATTTTTATTCATACGCAGTCTTGTAGCTGAGGTCTGATTTGAGATCATCTGTCCTTGAACCTGAATTGCCGTTGTGCTGGGCATGTCTCTTCAGCTGTTGTTACCTGAGTTCCCTCCATTTTAAAGCAGAAGGTGAGGGCAGCCAGGATCTACTATAAGCCATCTACTATAAGCTTATTGAGAGTTTTACCTTCCTCTGTAAAAATTGCCTTCCTGAGAAAGAGACATCAAAATGAGTGCTACTGAGAAGCCTCAAGCCTGACATCTTCTGCTTCCCTTTGGTCCCCATAAGGATGCCCCATTAACATTAATGCCAGGCACTGGATGCAAACTGGGATGAGACATCTGCAGTAGAGCCCCAACAGGAGTGGTAGGCCCTCTCTATAAAGTGTGGTCACTCTGTTGGACACTCTGGATTTAAGTAGCATTTTCTCTTGGGTCTTTTTCACCTGAAACTAATTTCTTTTGTTTTCCCAGATTTTAGGCTGGTGTGTGATAGTTACTACAGCTCTTATCTCCCTGCTAACCACCTGCTGTGCCAGCTGCCAGTCAAAAGTCAGCCACCTTCAGCTGAAGTTCTGGAGGGTGTACACAGAGAAGGAGAAAGAGCAACTGGAGCAGATTTTCGAGCTGTATGCCACCAAGCTGAGTGAGCGAAACCTGAAGTGCTTTTTTGAGAACAAGGAACCAGAAGCGATTCCCCTGCCGGCTTTTCAGGCATGGGAAGATGCTTCCCAGCTCTACTCTTTCAGCAATAGCAAACAGCATTATAGCACAATTCACAGGCTAGTTGAAGAAGGCCAGAAAAACATCAACGAGGAAGGAGAGACAATGCTGGACTTAGCAGACAGAAGAGAAATACCATAGATCAAATATATTTTCAGCTTTTTTATATGTTGCTAATATAAGATACTTCCAGCTGGTTTCACCTCTATACTTTTTCACAATGGCCTCTTTCTTCTTCATCACGCTCCCTTCCAGTTACAAACTTGCTCCAAGAGGATGGAATGAAATTCTTTCCCTACATCAGCAAAAATGCTGCAGTCCTCCATGGCACCTGGGGTTAACACTCTACTAATGTTGCTGGCTTCAGTTGAAGAGCTGACAGCAAAAAGAGATAAATAATGACTTCTACAAGAGGGTTTTAACAATATCCTATGTCAAAGGCAATCCAGCATGTTTATCCTATGTAAATCAAGAGACTATCATAAAGTAA